CGTAGGTTTGTTTAGAGTGACCTTCTCTTAGATGTATTGCCTTCCAAGGCTGTCGAGCTCCATCTACCCGGGGGGCTGGAAATCGAACCCGGGTCGCAGCGGTGAGAGTCCTGCACCCTAACCACTAGACCAAGATATGGCAAATGCCATCCTCTGTTTTTTATTCTTGACTGTACATTGAGACTGGCAATCTGTTTTTAATGGGAATGGGTTTTTGCAATTTGCTCAGCTGTCCTGGTTTCACTGCAGTTGGTAATGAAGCCCCATGCAGCTGCTCATCACTCCCCCCAGCACGAGGATCAGGAGGAGAATCAGAAGGGTATAAGCTGAGAACTTGTGACCTGAGATAAAGACAGTTTAATAGGGAAAGCAAAAGCCACACATGCAAGCAGACCAAAACAAAGAATTAATCCACTACTTCCCCACGTCAGGCAGTGTTTCAGCCATCTCCAGGAGAGCAGGGCCTCATCATGTGTAACAGTTACTTGGGAAGACAAATGCCATCACTCCAAATGTTCCCCCCCCCCCTTCTTCCCGACACTCTATATACTGTGTATGATGTCAATGGTCTGGAATATCCCTTTGGTCAGTTTGGGTCACCTGACCGGCCTGGTCATCTGGCTGTTTTCTGGCCTCGGCTTGCCTCTGTTTTTCCTGCGCCCTGTTCTGACCCCAGCCCAGATCTGCTCGGATTTCATCGGAGAGGCTTGACCCATCTGCAGTGGAACTTTCTGGGGAGGAGGTCGCCTTTTCCTTCCTCTGATCCGTGTTTGGCAGCAGCTTGTGCCCACTGATGAAGGGCAGGAAATCCTGGCCACAGCCTGCGTGAGTTTTGTGGGAAGAACCCCCTTTTTCCCCTTCCCGTTGGGGGGGCAGATCTCCATTTTCGGCTTCTCCCACCTACCGGGGCCCACATGGCTACCGCCAGGGCCCAACAGCGCCCCCCGCTGGCCAACACCGAGCAACTGCAGGCTCTGCTCCTCCAGTGATCCAACAGCGCCCCCTCCTGATCGTGGTTAGAATTGCGCCAAAAGGCAGAAAGTACTGAGCTGTTTCCTTTTTGAAGGGGGTTTTTGGGTACAGGATTATTGTTTGGTTGTTTTTGTGTTCTTTTGTTGTTCTGCCAATACACATATATCCTTTAATAAAGGGCTGTTATTTTTCCTTTCTCGATACTTCCTCAGTTGGAGCCTCTTAATTTTGGGTTTACAATTGCTTAGAGGGAGGAGTTTGGTCTTCCTCATAACTCATCCTCCACAGCAAAAGACTTCAGTCTCATTAAACTGAGACGCCAGGTAATGACTGATGAGAGCTCCTCCCAGATTTTACCAGTGAATTTGTATCCTGTTTGTAACTGAGCTGAATTTTAGTACTGAGTTGACAGCTGAAGGAGTTAAACTCTTGTTTCACCTCAGAGTGGGCACTGTTCAAACAACCACTTGTCTCTGGCCATGCAGTTAAAGATATGTCTTGGCTCTTCCTTGTTGTGACTTCTGAGTCTCTGGTCATCCCTTGCTTTCCCTTTAGTCATTGGCCTCAGGATGGTGACTACCAGCAGGTAGTGATGGTGTCAATACCACTGAAGCTTTGCTACACAGCTGTGAGGCAGCTGAGACGGATAAAAATATGCCACCATCCTTGTTTAATCTTGGTCTCAATAACCTAAAGACATAAGGTCCTTTTTGATGTTACTGATGTACTGTACTATCCTGTATATTTCTCCAAACTTAGCCTGAAAGTCATTTCGGCATGGTCACGCACTCCAAATGGAATAAAAGCATAGCTGAGGGCACGGATGGGCCTTCAAAAGCACTCTGTGGATCCATTTGCTTGTTGGCAAGACTTTGCAGCTATTATGACTGAAATAGAATAAGTGCTTTTCTTTGCTCTTCCAACTAAACTGCAAGTCTTTTTTTCATATTGTTTTTCTCTACCTCCTCTCCCTTCTCTTGCTTTCTGTGGCAGAGAAGCAGAGTAGGTGGGCCACAATATGGAGCATTACTGTGGTGTAAGAAGTTTTTTTGAAGTCTTGAAACATTCACAGTTTCTATACTATCTAATTTTTAGTCCACCTGGAATCGTCAAGCCTTTTTGTCTGGGTATATTCTGTTGATGTCCTCACCCTCCTGCACGTCTTTATACTCCTCATTGTTGCAGAAAAACAATTTTAACCCAAAATGTTTAGAAACTGTCCTGCAAAACTAAATTGGTGCTTAAAAAAATAGAAGGGGAGGGGAAAAAAAAGGAGCTTTGTTAACATCAGGCTTGATTCCTCATCTTAAGTCTCTGTGTTCGTATGTGAAATATGTGGTAGTGTTGAATTTTCTTCTGATTGTCTCTGTTCTTTGAGCAGTCATGAAGAATGATGATTTTCTATTTCTAAATTGAGTTTTTCTCGTATGTGTATTTTGTGTAGCCATATGTCAGTTGTTCATGTGAAAACTGGGCAGTGTTGTCATCTCTCTGCTCTTTCATAGGTCTTCCAGGAAAACAGATTGATTTGAGAGATGAGTTTTCACTTTGAGTTGGTTTAGTATCAACACTGGGAAGTGTAGAGATGTCAGAATTGTGTGGATTGAATTAAAATAATTGTTTGGCCTTGTATATCAGAAGGATTGTGGACTGTAATCTTTTTTTTTTTTTTTTAAGTTCAAGTACGGAGGCAGCTTTCCATTTTTATCTTTAACTGAAATTTTGACAGTCTCTACAAAATATGCTATACTGTTAATTTATGTGAAAATGGGGAGATGTGTGTCTGTGTGTATGGAAAGTATCCCTGGCTGACATAGTACTTCAATTACATGAATGTTGTTAGAGCTGTGAAATTTGCTATTCCTTGAATATATTGGAGGAGAGTCTGGCAAGGGGGAAGCATTTCTGTTGGCTTTGGCTAATGTGCTTTTCCTCAGGGTCGAGTCATGGATCTGGAAGGCAAAGTCCGGAAGGCGGCAGCAGAGAGGGGTGCTGTGGAGCTCAAAAAGAATGAATTCCAAGGGGAGCTAGAGAAGCAGCGACAGCAGATTTACAAAATCCAGTCCTTGCACAGCTTTCAGATGGAAAATGCTGACAGAGTCCGTCAGGAAGAGAAGGTAGGGTTTCTTCTAGCCAGTTTTCTGTGAGACTGTGAATTACCAAGACAATCTCTGCAACAGAAAATGTTTCTCACATGTTCCAACTGATGGGCATACGGTCAGTGTTGGTATGCCAAAACATTTATCTGTCTTTTTATGGTATTTAGAAAATGGATATTGAATGCATGTTATAGCATTTGCTGTGTAATATATGAAATACTAGAAGCTGCAAGTAATGGCACTTCTGACTAAAACCCCTACCCCCTTTGTAAATCGTGGTTACCGATCTTGGGTTGGCTTCTGGCTTTCTTTCTCGTGTACTAATGTTTTAATAATTAAAGAAAAGAGGAAAATGCACCAAGATATACATTTGTATTTCCAAATATGTTTGTAAGCATAAATGGTTGATGTTCATTTCTAAACACGTTACAAATTTTGTGGGACCTTGGCCTTTTGCCTCCAAAACTTAGTAGTGCTGGGAAGACATGAGAAGGTTAGACTTTCATGGCAGAGCTCCTGACTGTACAGTGTTGCCGGAGAGATGGAAGTCCTTTGTGAAGAATTTGAACTTAGCTAGTTAAATAGCAGTGTGTACAATTGCTGCTGTGTAGTATCCTGCAAACTGTTTTGTTGTGTATTTTCCTCCTGTTGCTGATACCATTTTTAATGTGGTAATGTGGTTGTTAGTCATTGATATCACTTTTCTCCCTGTTAGTAGAAATATTGAGTTGAAAGTGTTCAGTTGCTTCTCCTGTAGAGTCTCTTGACTGAAGTTTGTAGATCAGCTTTCCAGACTATTACTTCGAGCACGCTGAACAGACACAACACCTATTGGTATGCAAGGAGTCAACTCCACTGAAAAGGAATTACAGTAAATCAGCAGGGAGTGAGAAGAAAGCCTTCTGTGAAAAGGAAAAGGTGCCTATGTGTATTTTGTTTTGTGTTTTTTTTTTTCAAACCAAACAATCTTGCATATTCTAGTTTTGGAAAGGCTTTGAGGAACATTCCGTACTTGCCATAACATGATCTTGCTAAATTAGCAAAAGAAATCAGTCTGATTACTCATAACTGGTACAGCAGAAGCCTAGAAGACCACCTTTGTTCAAAATGTATCTTCCACATGGTGAGGAGAAGCAAAATCATCATCCGAGACTTGCTGCACTGTAGGCGCCCTGAGAGTGGGAATTTAGAGTATGTGTAGTTTAAGAGTTAACTAGTGGAATGTTTCTACCTCTTCATAGCAAAATGAATGGACAAAAAGAAATGCAGAAGGTACCTTAGATGTATCTGTACAAGTTTTATATTAAGAATCTCGTATCATAGGTTTTTGTTTTCCTTATGCTGCCTACTATTTGGGTTTTAGTTAAATATAACAATATCTTGAAATTCCTGTAGCTCTACAGGGCTTATTTTCTCCAATCTGTTTGCTAGTGCACTGCACCCGTAAAAGTAATTTCTTTTTAATATGTGTTAACTTCCCATCTCTTCTGCTGAGAGTGTAAGAAATTGTTAATCTTGTAATTTTGGTGGTTTCTGCAGTTTTGAAGGGTGAACTACACCGTGTGATGGTGCACATGTCTTTTGTGACAAAAAAGGAGAGTCTAAATTGCTTGTAGCATAGGATGTGAAACAAGTTTGAGTCTCTGACCTTTGCCATGATCACGCTTTAAGAACAGAGCTGGTTTTTTGGGTTTGGGTTTTGTTGGCTGGGTGGGTTGTTCGTTTCTTTGGTTGGTTGGTTTTTTTGCTTGTTTGGAATTTTTTTTGTTGGTTTGGTGGGATTTTTTTATGTTTATTGAGGATGAGAAAAAGTCTACAATTTGTGAATGGAATTCAGTTCAGTGAAATATAGATTTACATGAACAGTGTCTCCTCCATTTTTGGCTTGAAATTTGTTTTAAGTCTTTCTTCAATTGATGTGCCTCTACTAAAGTATACATGAGTGTGCAGCACCCAGGCCAACCTAAAGGAGAAATATTTCTTAGGAATCTTATTTATGAACTTTTTTTCCCACATACTAATATGTAGTTAGCCATTAATATCTTGGCCTAGAATGAAAAAGCTTTGTTGTGGCTCGTTGTCATAGTTTAACCCCAGCTGGCAACTAAATATCGTGCAGTCACTTACTCAGTCCCCCCACCTCTCCCTAGATTTTTGAAGAAAACACATGGCTTGAGATAAGAACAGTTTAGTAACTGAATCAAAATGAAATAATGATAGTAATGAAAAGGAGAGAGAGAGGAATAAAACCCAAGAGAAACAAGAGATGCACAATACAATTGCTCAGCACCAGCTGACAAATGCCCATCCCGTCCCCCAGCAGTGATCAATGCCTCCCGACCAACCCCCTCAGTTTATATACTGGATATGACATTCTATGGTGTGGAGTATCTCTTTGGCCAGCTGTCCTGGCTGTGCTCCCTCCGGGCTTCTTATGCACCTGCTCACTTGGCAGAGCATGGGAAACTGGCAAGTCATTGACTCAGGGTAAGCACTACTTGGCAACAACTAAAACATCGGTGTGTTACCAACATTATTTTCCTGCTAATACCAGCATGGTGTTGGGGAGCAGTGGGAACATGCGAGGTGGGTCTACTCTTTTTCTTTGCAGTAAGGACTTAAATAATTTCGAGTTAATTATGCCCTGCTTCTCCCTGATTAATTATAGATGTCTGTTTCTGCATGTATAAATCTTAGCCTCCCATCTTGCTTTATTCCCAGTTGGTTTCGTTCTTAGCAGGTGAGTTACTGATCCTGTGGCTCATCTTTGTCTCCTTTGTGCTATATTTGTAAATTCAAAGCCCTTTTTTTCTTAGGTGTTAGTTTTAAAATCAGTGTTAACGCTCATCAGGTTATTTGCTGTTTTAATTCTTTTTCCTGTTGCAATATCTCATGCTTCTATATACAGCACCTGCAATCAGTGTTAGAAAGCACATGTCAGTTCGGTGTACTTGGATTAGCTTGATTTATGATTGTAGGAAATGCTGAAGGAGTAATTGTAGTAATTCCTCCAAGGCATATATCTATGGAGAATACTGTGTAAGGTGTTAGTTGGATCAAATGCATGTACATAGTCCAGAGCATGTGCTCAAAGCATAGGTTTTGAAATAATCTCCCTCATGTGTATTTCTGCATTATGTTTTTGGGTTTTTTTAAACATAACTTTATCTTTGTGTTTAAGTGGAATGTGACTAATGTAGACATGTTCTATGGTGAATAATAATGACAAAATCTCTGTCAGTTGTCATTAAAAAATTTGCCGTACAGCTGGAGCAAGATTTTTCCCTCACTGCTGGTGGAAGTGTGACTTTTGATTTTTTGGTTTCTGAAGACTTGCTGTCCACAACATTGTCTTCAGTCAGGAGACTGATTTTTATCTCTTTGGCAGTCACATGGACTTTTGTGCAAGACATATTTGCAAATATAAGAAGCTGGTTCTATGTTTCAGAGTCACTCTGTCACAGAACATGAGATTTTGATGTGGTGATACAGTTATTTTCCAAAAGCTGGATTTTCTGGGGATGATAGCTATTGTTTTGTGGGCTAAATGAAGTTTAAAATGTGAGTTGCTTTCTAGAACTGAGTATTGCCATATGTCTGGTGTGCTGGTTTAAGAGTTAACCAGCAGGGGTAATGAACCCAACTCAAAGGAGAGATTATAAAGTCAGAATAACAATTTATTAAAATAATACAGTA